TAATGTAATCGTAGATGAATTTATTCTAGAATATGAAAGCAATCTTTAATACTTATTTAGCAAACGGGAAATTTTTCTAAATGAAGTGATGATGGTTGATTTAGTAACACATACGGGACTCAAAGGGTCAACAAAAAAGGCACACTCAGCAAACTACAAGTATTTCAATTATCCTTGATTTTTAGTAAGATAAGGTGGTTTATGAGAGACTGGGTGCATTGGTTCTGTAAGGCACCTTGTTTACCATGCTAGAAAGTTGAAAATTTAAATACTGAATCACTGAAAATATTTTATGCATGAGAAAGACATACCATATTTACCTTTTAGAATGTGCACCCAAAACCTAGTTGGGGACATCAGGAAAGAGAGGAATTCAGTACAGCTGCTAATAGAGTGCACTTAGGGAGAAAATTGTTTAGTGCGGTGCACGAGCAAGTTAGAGTGAGATAAAGAGACAAGATTAAGAACAGCAGAATAGGATGCCTAGCCGTTAATTTGATAATGAAGATGAAGAATGCAAAATAATTTTAGGTTTCTGCTTTGGGACATTTGGAGTATGCAGTTTCTAGTCCCTGAAATAAGACAATATGGATTTGGCAAAAGAGAGGGGAAAATAATCTTGCATATGGCTCCAGAGTGATAAGCTTTGGTCTCTGTGTGGGTCAGTTTTACCATCACTGGGTCCTTGCGCTCACAATTTTGAGAAGAGATTTAATTTAGCTCCCAATTTCAGCAGATATAGTACAGGTTTGCCTGCCTCCAAGAAAGCAGCACTTTGATGATGGAATTGGCAAAGCAAAGACATCTAGTTTGTAGTGTCTGTGAAGCAAAGTAGGCGATCAACACTAGAGACAGGAACCCAACACAGACCTCAGCAGTGGGCTTCCAAGACCCACACAGACACACCCAGAAATGTGCTCTGCCAATCCTCTGAGAGGCTCCCTCCCTACACAATCAAGTTTACATGGTCAAGCTTAACTATTACAGATTGCAATTCTGGGTTGCTACTTATTAACATGTGACACTAGAAACTTACCTGTTCTTTTCATTTCCTCACATGTTAAACCTACACTAATTATAAAGTTTACTGTGAGAATTAAATGAATTAATATGTATCATCAATAATTTCAGCCCTTCAGAATCTGTTTGTGTTTCGTTTAGTGTTACAGTGTGATGCCATTAACCTTAACTCCAATCATCTCTGACTGCAGTGTAGTCTCCAATATATCATTCCTAACATCATTCACTGTACACACACTTTGTGTCTTTGCATTCCTAATTTCTTAGATTAAATTTCACTCCCAATTCTTATAGTTGCTACTGTGCATACATCCTTGCCTCCCTGGCCTCTCTCTGCTGATCATATTTGGGAAAAAAGCAGTATAATATCTTCCCAATTCTCAAATTCCTTACAAATCTTATACTCATTCCTTACAAATCTTAGTCTCACTTTTAGCCAGTGATCCGACTCCCCAGGTCACCGAGAAAACACAAGTGTTTTATCTTCTTCCAATTGTTGCATGCTCACAGAACACATGTTGCTTTCAAAATACAAGTCAGTCATTTACTCTTTCATTAAAATCCTTTAAAAACTTCCTACTGAATTCAGAGTAAAATGTAAATGTCTTACAGTATCCTATATTGCTTTATATGATATGAAAATCCTGTGACATCTTTGACATTTTTTTTTCAGGGTGTTTCCTTCCGTACTCAGGTCCAGCCACTAATCTCAATGTCCTTCAAGATGGTTGTGCACCTCCTGTCTCAGAATCAAGTCCTGTCTGGCTCATGTGTTTGTGAAACTCTGTCACTAGGGATCTACCTGGTGACTCCTTCCAATCCTCACGCTTTGGATAACTATCTTTTCAGTGAACTCTCTTGATTGTCTTTTATTATAATTGCAGTCCTAGGATTTCTCCTTAAAAGGAGAAAACATTGCTTTAGTTGAAAATACAACTAGCATATAAAGGTGTTAGAATGAGAGACCATTACTCTGGACTAAGCTCGTATCCTAGATCCCACTGATGAGATCCGGTCGAGATGGAGTTACTCATGTTTTAAATGCCACATAACCCAGCAGTAGATCCCAGAACAGATCATTTCACTTGAAAAAAAAGGAGATTTTAGTCTATGTGTATCTGAAAAATAAACATGCTCCTTTAGATACACCACGCATAATAGTTACTTTACAAGTAACTTGGTATTATGAATGGCCCAATCATCTTCTGTTTTTGTATTCTGTTTCCTTGCTCCAGTCTTACAAAATTCACAATTCAGCTATTACTGATTTGGAACTGTCCTGTTATTCTATGGCATAAAGGCATCCTTGAATCATAAATAACAACAAACTCCAATTAGATCTAAAACCAAACTCAGGCTCTTATTTGACAATATACATATACAAAGAGAAATAGTTACTACAAATTAATATGTTCATTTCCTTACAAAATCACTCCTGTGTGCATATATGTGTGTGTATGAGTAAATGCCTTTCTCTCTCTCTCTCTGTCTCTCTCTCTCTCTCTCTCTCTATATATATATATATATATATATATATATATATGTATATGTATATGTACATATCCCATCTGTGTGTGCTCACTGTACCTGATATCTAATTTTTTGACAAATTTCCAGTATTAACCATTGTAATCATTTGTAATCATCCTATATTTCTATATGTTATATCTCTGTACTTATTCATTCTCATGAATGCAGCTTTGTACATTTTGACTAATATCTCACCTTCACATTTCTCCAACATTTGTTATTTTTTAAATTTTTTTTCACTTATTTATTTAGGTTCCAAAGATTGAACTCATGGCCTCCTGCTTGCCAGGCAGCGGCTTCTGTGGCTGAGCAAAATCCCTGGCCTCTCCCCTTTTAAGCTTTACTATACTATTTGTTTCTATTTTTTTTTAAATAAGAAGGCACTAAGTGATGTATGTATTTGTATTATTGTCTATTTATTCTCATTGGAGAAAGAAAGCTGTATAAAGGCAAATATTTATTTTTGTTTCTCATAGTTTTATTACTATCCATAATAGTACGTGGCAAATACAGGCATTCAAAAAAAAACTAATCAATTAATTAATTAGTTAATTAATATTTTTGGCATAGTTCCTGGAAAAGTTTATGTGGTCAGTGAATAAGAGGTATGATTATTACATTACTTAATAATATTATATTGGGCATGTTGCACTTAAAATAAGATGGGGAAGGTTTGTACTTTCAAGATTCATAAGAGAAATGTGATCCGAATATAAATTAACATGGTAATAAAATGAACTGATCAAACCAGATTGCACTGGGAAAAACATTGTACGTAAACTTATAACACCGGAAGGTAGATCCCAGAGAAGCAAAAACGTAGGCAGGTCCCATTGTACCCAGCAAAGACGGTGGGGGCAGATACGCAGAGAACAGAAAAAGACCGGCAGAGTACAGTAGCATGGAAGGCCGTGAAGACACGCATTTGAGGTGAACGAACTAATCCACAGCAGTCAAATACTTCAGAGAGGAAAATATCACTGTCTAGCAAACTGGCAATGTCGAAATATAAATCTTGATTAGCACCATCGAAATATTTAGTGATTAAAAACTGTAAAGTTTTAAAGATATTAGAAGACTATTCAAATAAACTTTTTCCTTTGATTTTCCTAAAGAAAGAAGCAATGCGATCATAAGAAGAATTTGTCTCATATTTGACTACAAGATTGACAAAAAGGATTGATTCCCCCAGTGAGTGGGATCATTCATCAGCAGTGTGGTAGTAAGATGCATAACAAAATGTTTTCAAATGTTAAAATGTGAGATCTGAGATGCATTTAAACAAATACGATTACCTTATTTTAAGAATGAAATATTGTAAAAATTCTACAGATCCTTATTCTCTAAGCTAACACTTTAAATGTATAAAAATGATACCAAGTTAACTGAAAATGTAAGAAGTTTTACATGGTGTGTTATTTTTAATTAACTTCATTTCTAAAGACTGCTTAATAAATCTTAGATGAAGAAAAGACATTTAGAATTAAGAATGTGTATGCTCAGCAATATCAAGGCATATTCTCTCCTTCTATTTATGTGGCCTAAGAAATAAAACACTCTTAATATTTTTTAAATTAAGGCATTTAAAAATACAGCCAGTATTTTACAGATAATTACAAAATGAATCTTAAGTGGGTGCAAATTGAGTAATTTTATTAATTTCTAGGTTGACCTTTACAAAAGTATTTAACATCTCCAGGTTGTTACATTTTTATTATAGCAAACCAAAGTTCTAAGCACTCAGTCTCCATATTATTTTTTTAAAAAGTAGTGCATAACGCATATGAAATAGTTTGTTTGGTAAAATAATTTTCACTTAGAAACCATTTGGATTTTGAAAATGGATATTTTCTTTCAATAGACCTGCTTCTTTTCCTATCAAGGATTGTGGTTTTCAAAGTTACCTTCCTCAGGCATATTTCATTCATGTATTTATTGAATTAAGTAATTATTTTGCAGGTAGTTAGATTTATTGTCCAATAATTTTTATTTTATAAAAAGATAGTGAATGGCAGCACATAACTTTTTCAAAGTTTGTGTCATCAGTTTTGGTAGCCTCTGACCTAAATGAGAGACCTCAACATTGCAGATACATAATGTGCATCCACAGCAAAATCGCCCGTAAGAATAACTTCATTATTCTGGGAAGTTAGATCTATAAAATGTGGAAACTGCAGAAGCGTTCTGCCTATACAATTTCTGGTAAGTACCGCATGACTAAGTGGTGAAGCCTGAGTCAGCTTCAGTTCGAGCACAGCTACTAAAAAGTGTTCTGTGGAAAGAAGTATGGATAAAGGAAATCCAGTGATCAAATGTCTCTGCTCTGAAGCAGTGAAGTATTTCAGATCAGCATAACTCTGTCTTGATTAACGGAAATTAGCCCAAGAAGAATTTAGTGGTGTTATTTACAGCATTCCCAGGTTACACCAGAATGGTACAGAAAAACTCACCAGTACCACTGGACAGATGGCTGTGGGCGGTAAAATATGGTCCTTCAGGGGTCCACAGTCACATTCAGGTTTCAGATGAGAAGCACATTTATTGTGCAGCTAGAAGAGGAGAAATAGGGATAGTATCAGATTCCACAGGATGAGAGCAAACGTAGGGCAGATTAGATTTCTACTGAGATACAGTGAATACATTGAAAGCACATCAAAAATTGCAAGAGAAAATAAACAGACATAAAAGGGCTTCATATTACATTTGTTCTTGTATATTTTCCTTAAATAATTAAGCAACTTTCACGCCTCACACTACCTATTTTCTAATTCTCAGAAAATTTTATTTGAAAGATGTGCTTTAAATTTCACACCAAAGAAGCCTGATTTCTCTGACGAATAAACGGTCTCCCTTTACCGTCCTTACTTTGGTGATTTGTTAGCATAATCTTGAAGCCTCCATACCCTGTAATGCTTTTTTTTTTTTTTGACCCTCCTGTTTTCTCAAAGTCATTCCAAAGTGCACAGCTCAGTATGGGGCATAATTGATCCCATCATTAGTTTTAAATTTGTAATTCAATATGTAAATGTAGCCAGAGATTCATCTCAGTAGGAGCAGGATATAAATAAAAGACGATGATTATGATTATAAAAATTTAACTTTATATTGTATTTATAAGCTCAACATTATTTTAGTGTATCACTATGTGATGTATGTTCATTTTACAATATGTATGAATCCAAACCCTTATTTTTTATCAACTTTGATTGCAAGTTGAAATTAAGACACTATATTATAATAAATACTGATGTTTTTATTTATTTTTCAATTTGTGTTTGTTTTTGGAGACAGGGTTTCACTGGATAGCCCAGGATGGCCTCAAACTTGAGGCATCCCTTCTGCCTCAGCCCGCAGAGTGCTAGGATTATAGGTGTATGGCACAATGCCTGGCTACGTTCTGATGTTTTGAAATAAAGGTGATACTTTTTATTGGAATAACACAGATTTGTTAGAATTATCCTTGTTTAAAATCGTTTAGGAATTTCTCCCTTCTTTGTCCAATATCAATTAAACATGAAATAATCTAGTTTAGCAACATGACACATTTTAATCAGATAGGAAGTGTTATAAGAGCGACAGAGGAGAGAGAGAGAGACAGAGACAGAGACAGGGACAGAGAGCAAGCTACACTTTACTTAGTTATGCACTAAAGGTTCCCCCAGTTAAGCCTTAGCTGTACTACAGCACTTTGGGCAGGAGTTAATTAGCAAATCCTAAGACACTCGTGAGAGCTGATTCATATTGACAGTGGGTGCGTGCTGAGGAGTATTTCCTTGGTCCTAGAATACATTTGTCTCAATAGCTCCTTGCCTCAGAGTTCAGGCTGTGTGTACGATAATTAGTGCACATTCAGATGTACTGCATGAAATAAAAGTATCTTTGTACATTTATCCATAATTAGCATTTCTCTTCACAGCAGCACATAAACTTCTCTATAAAGAAAACGATTTTCCGTCTTTTTATTAGGCAATGCTGGTCCTTGTCAAGAGGAAAGAAGAATTGAAAATATAGAAGCACTTGAAACTTCATGCACAATAGAATAAAATAAGCTCACACTCTGAATAGGCCATGAAAATGTGTAATTTTCTTACAAATGGGTTAAATACATTGTTAGTTTATGGGGCTTATTGTCACAAAATAAATCATAGACTTGGGTAGTTGGATTCAGAGGTAACAGGTTATCAACTGATGTGGAATGAATGCTTATATCCCAAAATAGATGTGCACAAGCCCTAAGTCCTGGTACCTATGAATATAAAGTTTAATTTGAAATAAATCTTTATAGTTTGATGTTCAAGCTAAAATGCAATTATATATGATTAGATCTGAGCCTAATCCAATGATTGACTCATATCAACATAAGAAGAGAAAAATCTGAACAGAGAGCTATAGACTCTGAGGCAACAGGATCATGTGACCACCATGTAGAGGTCTGAGTGATGTGGCTACAGGTAAAGGAAGGCCGATGATGACTACTCGAAGTCAGGCGGAGGCAAAGAGTCCTCCCAAGACCTTCAGAGTCAGTATGATCTTCCTGGCACTTTCGTTTTAGCATTGTAGCCTCCAGAACCATGAGACAATACATTTCTGTTGTTTTAAACCACTTACATCATGGCATTTTGAAACAGCAGCCCTAGGAAATTAATACACAAAGCACTGCGAATAGTGAACAATGGCCAAAGGGAGATAATGCCACTTAAGCTCTCCTGTACCCTGTGTGGCACGAAGAGGGAGCTTTGGCTCTTTGATTTTGGCACAAAGCCTTGAAAACTGAAAACGCAGATTCCAAGACCCTCTACAGAAAGCAAAATACTAGGTGACAATGGCTGCATGTAGAATGGTAAAGGGTTGGATGTGCACTCTTGACAACACAGTAAGTTGCACAAGTGAAGGCCAGGGCAAGGAGCTCAGAGAGTCCTGCTGACTGCTGGGCCCTACAGTTTGCAAACCTCAGCTTCTCTGTGTCTCCATTCCTGGGTTTCCAATAGGAATAACGAGTTAACGCAATGGCTTTGGCATTTAGGATCAGAAGGGAAGAGCTAAGGACATAGAACATGCTGTAGAGGTGACCAGAGTGTGAGTGAGGGTAGGACACTTACTGGGTTTGAGAGTCTCAGGGTGTAGGAAATGGCAGTTGGACCCAGAAAGTACTGCCCCTCTAGAGCTGAAGGAAGCCAAAACAGAATTCTCCAGTGTGATCACCTCTGTGGCCTATGTCCCAGAGCTCCATATGGGTACCTGTGACACAGTCCTGCAGAAGTGCCAGCACAGAGCAGGATCCATAAGGTCAGAAAGCATACTGTCATCGCTGAAACAGGGACACACAGTGCAAGGATATCTTCCTAGCTGAGTCTGTACCACATGATCCTACATAGGACAGCCTCACGCTTTTGTTAAGAATGGAATCTGGCCACTGACATATACACCCCGGTGGTCACTCACTTCATGACATTTGTTGCAAGAGGAAACATCAAAACTGAGGGCATCATGTTAGAAGTACTGATTATTTTAGAAGCTGTGAGTTAAGTTTACATGGCAAGTCTGATTTATGTGTTCGATTATTCAGACATACTTGACAAATGATATATGAAAGCCAGAGATAATCCTAGTACTCTGGGAGACTGAGGCAGGAGGATACCACATTTAGGCCTAGGCTGGACAATTTAGTGACTTAGCCAAAATACGTGCCTCCCTCACAAAAGAGAATGGGGGATGTAGTTCAGCATGAAGACCCCAAGTTCAACCTGAAGCAGTGAAAAATAAAACCAATGAGAAAACTCCTATATTGTGGGATTATTTTTTCAAGCATAAAAATATCATTTTTGCTGTGAACCCAAAAGTGCTCTAAAATATAAAGGCTATTTAAAAGAACACTTATTAACAAAACAAAAATTACGTAATGAAATACAAACACAAATTTTTTTAAGGTTACTGTTAATAATCTGTTCTCTCATCAGATACTGTTTACATGGGATGTTTATTTGAACAAAATCATTAAATTTTACCCTTTGAATACAGATACTCTTCTATATGTAAATTATCTTTTGTTAAGAAGTCAAAATCAGAACAGAAGTGAATATCCTTGACAACAGCAATTGGTACTATGAGTTTAATGTGTCTTTCAGAACTTCATGAAGTAGAAATCTGTATGTTGATGGTGTTTGGAGGTAGGGCCTCTGTGAGGTATTTAGGTTTAGATGAGGTACAGATGGTGAGGATCCACGATGAAATTAGTGGCTTTTTAACAGAGAAAGGGAAACATATGCTTGGACAATTCCCCTGGCTTGCCAAGCAGGACCTTCTGCCGCACTGTGATGCAGCAAAAAGGGCTTCTACAGATGGGTGCTCTGGACCTCGACCTTTCAGCCTTCATGAAAGAAACAAATTTCTCTTCTTTGTAAATTATCCAGTCTGTGGTGTTTTGTTCTAGCAGCAGAAAACACACAAGATGCTTTGTTACCATATAATTTCATGAATAAAAACAAAAGAAACAAACACAGCTGAGTCTTTCTCAGTGTCTACGAGACCTTGAAGACTGATAATTGTCTGCTTGTTAACCTGAGTCTAAATCAGTGAAAGACTAAATACAGAGATCTTCAAGAAAAGAAAGCAGGGCATAGACACATCCTGTTCTGTGAGTGAAAAAAGCAGTATGCACCACAGAAAAGGAATTGCTTAGTTTTCAAATTAAAAACAAAACAACAACAACAAAAAAAACAATGTTGTTCGTGGTTCTCTATCTGTTTTGAAGATTAAACAGAATATTCAGATCATTATTCTAATATGCCCAAAAACTCCTATTCTTAAGAAATTTAGCCCCATTATTCCTATAATATGAACCACATTTTCCTGCAAATGAATAAACCTTTGGAAATAATTTCAAATTGTATGACAGTAACATGTAACTTAGAGCCAGCTCTATGTTTGTTTATTGGAAAAATCTGTCTGGAGTTTGCAAGGAAAGAACGTGCGTATGGTGTGCTCATAAGAGTGGAAGCTAGGAAACAGAGCATGGGCAGAACAAAGAAGAAAATAATGGAACAGTTAAATAGATACAAAAATACTTTTCCGATAACAATTTAGATATGAATGAAAAAGAGACATAAATGACTCTTATAAATAAATACTCAGTGAGCTGACTTAGAGGAATATATTTGTTACTTGCTACTTTTCTTTGGCTCCAATATTTTGCATATAAAGGTACAGGCTGCTACCTTGCTGCTGTTATTCTGTATATGTAACTTTTTTATGGCTTTGTGAATTTTTAGAGATTATTGTTCAAAATGTCATATTTTAATAAAAGAAGTATATTTATATGATACCAAATTTAGTAATTCGTATGTATAAACTAGATATTCTTTGGAAAAGCCCAAATAAAACATGCTACATTATCGTGGTGAATTCTGCCAGACCAGGAATCATGATTTAGAACAGGAACAATTCACAGCATGAGCTGAGCAGAATGTCCTGGGATTATGCTACCAGCAGAAACAAGCAGGTATAAGCAGTAGCATCTTAAAATTGGCAGACAGTAGCCAAGAAAGGAAAGAGAGAATCAAGGTACAAAGACGAAAGCACAGAAAATGAGTTGGCTAAATTTGGAACATGCTTTTCCACTGTTTTATTTTGGCTGTTTCTACTTATTATTTTTTAAATGGTTACATTTACAGAAGGAGGCAAAACTTCCATGTAAGAGCTTAACTGTGTGTCTATCAGGTGGGAAAATAGTATCACGACATCATGAGCACAGATTGATAAATAAGTGTGAAAACAAATTTTTACCTTTAATAATTTAATATATTAACATATTATCTATCAGATAGTAATTGGAACATTGCAGAATGATATATGAAAACAACACTTATGTTATGTGCCTTTGGAATTCAGTATTTAGTGCTAAGAAGCACACTATTTGTATCATTGAAGCAAATATATTGAGGACTTTCTCTAAAGGCGATGCTGCATCAAGAGTTTCAACTGATTAAGAAAAAAAACATGTGACACTCATGAGCCAGTGTGGACAAGTTTATCACAAAGACCGGAAACTCCTGGAGAAAAATACAGTGTTTCCTTTTGGTGTGGAGTAAAGGTAAAGAAAATATGAAGGAAAAGAAAATACTACTCTGAAAAAAAATCAAGGAAGGTGTGGAATTTGGTTCCTTAGTTACAGTAAAAACAGAGTACATTGAAGGACTGGGGAGAATAAAATAACAGACCAGGAAAATGGTCTTGCCAAGGAATTACAACCAACACACACAACTACTACAGAGGGAATACATGTGGGATAACTCCATCATGTGCTTAGATTTGGGTCTGAGTTTTAAGGAACTGAAAACCAAATTGACTTTGGAGGCGTTGAAGTTAGCAGAATTATTATAGGTTGCTAAAGGAGGCACGCGATCACAAATCAGTATTTTTGGAAGATCTTCCTCGAGGTGGTACGTAGGCTGCCATGGAGAGAAGTTCCTTCTGGCGGGGAGATAAGCCAGGAGATTCTGACTCGAATCTAGACAAGAGGTGCTAAGAGCTTGTACCAGGGTTGTGAATGTGGAGACAAAAACTCAGCTTTGAGGGAGATATTTTAAGGAAGAAAAGTCAGGGCTCAGTAATGGTTGCAAAAATGAGATAAAAAGAAACTACAGGAGTGAAAGAATTTTACTCGTAATTCTGTTTTCAGTGGCTGGAGGCACGTCCCACCATGTCTGCTAAGCTGCGCTAAGGGAGCACAGTCAATGCGCTGGGCAGGGCCCCAGGACTGACATCCTTCTGCAGGCAAGGATTCCCAGGCGCTGTTCTCCTCTGAACGGGCCAGAGGAGAGGGAAGAGGCCAGGAGCAGTATTCAGAGCAAGCTCTGGATGCCAGGACTGGTTTTGAACGGCACCTGTGAGATGCTTCACCCCGCTCTCGCTGTGTGTTGTCACTTACTGAGCACTTGCTACATATAAAGCACTTTCATTAACCCAGTTACATGGATTTTTTTTTCACCATTTAGTCCTAGAGCACTCCATACCAAAGGGATTGTGAGCTCCATTTTACAAAGTGAAAGATCAGTCAAAACCAGTTACACATATGGCCCAAAATGGTACAATTATAAGTGATGGATAGTAATTTAAGAATCTGGTGGACGTGACTCCTACTATTAAATGACTTCCAAAAGTCATGCGTAAAAAGGATGTGAAGACTTTGGAAACACCTTGAAATGGACACAACTTTCCTACCTTATGTTTCCCTCTGCAGTGACCCAACTTGAACCCATCCTACAGCCCTCCCTAAAGCTCCATTTCAACAGCGCCTGGCCTGTCCCCCTCATGGTGACTCTTTACATTATGGCCCTCTCTGCAAGGACTAACACAAGTGAATGTAATTGTTCAGATGTCTCCAGAAATAGTAGGTAGGTATTACTCAAGTGTAGATCAGCTTTACACTAAAATTTTCAACCACTAGGTCAAACAAAATTTTTACGAATACTTTTAAATACACAAGGGTTCTGAAATAAATATATGTGTCAACTAGCAAGAAAATCAATGAAATTAATTAATTAAATTAATGAAAGTGTTCCTGCAATTCATTAAAATTAAAATTCTGACAATGCAGAAGTCTGAAGAAGCCATATCAGAAGACTATATATTTTTCCACATGTATTTTTAAACTGCGTGATTTTGCCTAATACAAGAAAATACTGGAGCCTACTGGAACCTTAAAACTCCTGATAGTCTGCGGAAATAAACCAGAAACCTCAGGACTTGGGAGAGGTTGATAAGAGGGAGTTACTATATTTTCCTCTAACTCTAAATTAACCCTTTTGGACCTTCCAGAAGGGTTTTAAATCCCAAATAAAATTCAGTGATTGATTGATTTAGAGCTTGGATTTGCAGATGTTAACAATTTACGTTGTGCTGGTATAGTCTCAACAAGAATCATCTTGATGCATTATCTTCGCTGTAAAAAACAAGATGTTAGTAATATATTGCCTGAACTGACTTAGGGTGTGAAATTCTTGTATTTCAAAAGTACAGTTTAGTCAAAGTAACACCTTTTTTGTAGTGAGTAAAAGGATAAGACAAGCACTGACTAAAGATAAATCTGTAATTTGTGACTGATGGGGCTAGATGAAGATTATGAAATCACAGATAAAAACAACCATTAACAAAGAAAGAATAAACGAAATAAGTTGGTATATAAGTAAGAAAAACTTTTAAAATGCATAGAGTACTAATAGGAGACTAATGAGGATGGGAATTTTGTGGAGAAAAATATCCTACAAAACGGAAGGGGTATAAGATAAACTCATGGAGACTAAAGAGAGAGACAAAGAGAAAATCAAACAAAAAATTCCAGAAGTTTTTGTATTTGCAGCGGCAACAATGCACATTTTACTGTTTAAATTTGTCACAAATTTGAAATATTGCTTTTTTAAAAAAATAGAAATTATAAAATTAAAGTATCATTATAAACATGTATTTTTAGAAAGGAAAGTAATTTGAAATATAATCATAAAAATTATTCTGACATTCTCTAATTACAGTTTAGGTTAACACTTAAGATGCTGGTAAAAACAAGAAGAGTCTATTACAAGTTCTGAAACAAAATTTTGTATGTCTTATAGATATTTACCAAAAATGAATAATTTTAATGTACTTCTTTTTAAAAAATGAAACTGTCTTCTTAAAAGCGAGACAATACAAGTGATTCATGTGAGTAATTTCAATTTTCATTAGGCTTTTTTATTAAAATAACCAACATTTAAAAAAAGAAAAGTGTCTTTTATAATATAAAAATTTCCAAAAAGTAAATGTGATGTAACTAGATAATAGCTAAAAATGATTGAAGAAAGAATGTTCATTTTTTAAAAGAAATGTACTTAATTGTATTTTTGAAATGTAAGTCATAGATTATTTTTCTCGTTCTGCTGTGTGTGTGTGTGTGTGTGTGTGTGTGTGTGTGTGTGTGTGTTTTCTTATAAGAATGCCGTTTGACCAGTGGTCAGGGACTACAAGTTGAGCAATGCGGAGAAATTTATTTGCTTAACTGACTCAATTTACCCCACTGTTTTATTTGAACAAAATAAAAGTATTAGCCCTATGAAAAGAGCATTCAAATACCATCCTGGGGGATAAAACTAGAAAGCTTCCAATCTCATAAGTGTTTCGCACCTTATTAAGAAAAACAATACTTCTAGAAAATTTAAATTCTAATTAATTTCTAAAACTTAAATACAAAACATTGGAGGTTTTATATTTCATTTTTATTCCAAGACTGGTTTTGACAATCATCAAAACCAGGTAAAGTCCCAAAGTTTCTCAAAAAGACAAGTTTTTCTTATTTGTACATGCTACTAATGATTAGCATTAACATCCAAATCTCTTTTCCTCCAGTTTAAGAGCCAACTGAATGAGGAAGGCTACAGCATGTTGGGAACCAGGGTAAAAAATAAGTTCTGAGAAGCAGCAAGACCTAAAAGAATGACTTTCCCCTTTTACCTACCACGTAGCCAAGGATAATTTGCTTAACTTTTTATTCTTAATTTTACTATGTAATAAAATTTTTGCAATCCCTTGTTCATTTTTTTCTACCCCTTTTATACTCATAGAACCTAATTTAAAATAAATTTACAATACGTAGAAAAGAAAGCATTTATCAAATACAGTAGTTAAATAGAGGCAAGGTCGAGCTCTACCCAGTTAGTATCTATTCTGATGTCTGCCTGTAACCATGGTCTCTGTTTGCTTTCCTGGGAAGTCCTTGGGTTCCATGGGACACTGTTTGAAAAAGATACAGTAGCATGAGTTCCAAGATTGCCATCATTTCTAAAATTCTGGATTCTTTGAAGACATGATCTGAACTGTATCCCTTTGGAAGCCTAAGGCAGTAAGAAATTCCCATGGTTTTATGTTAACTGATCCCGACACTAAAGAAACACTTTCAGGGGGAACCATCAGATAAGATTGGATGTGCAGCCCTGGCTGTGAGTGGAAGCTTGAACTTGACATAATTACTCACTGTGATCTGGCACCAAACACAATGCAGTCCTGTCAGGCCCTGGTAACATTTTACTGTTTTGTGGCACTTGTCACACTTGGTTGGGCAGTTGCCTTCAACCCAGTAATGGTGCATGACCTAGAACAGAACAGCAGTACCAACGTAAGAAAAAGCAGCCTCAGTCACCACCCACAGCAAACCAGCACTGTCACAAACTTACGTCCGTGTTCTTTTTGGACTTCACGTAGGTCTTGATGCAAGAGGGAGGTGCTCTAGCCACACATCGCTCGTGGACTGTGTACTTGCAGACTGAAAGAAAACAGGTACACAAATTCAGAGCTAATCCTGGTCCTGATTGCAATTTTATAGGGAAAGAATGACATTAACGGAACCTCATTTCATATCCACTGCTCCCTAATCAATCCAATCAGCCACATCCAGGAAAAGTCCAAGTCGACTGTTTTTACCACGGAGTACAAAAGGCCAATTAGTACAGGAAATATTATGCATGTGAAAAACCAAGACTCCTCTATCATGGCATAGCAGGAAATGCTTAATTAAATCAGTCTTCACTCGAATTTTTCACAATAATTTCCAGATGACAGAAATATTAAAGACAAATTGATGACTGCCAAATGGCTTGGTGTCATGCGAGAAGGAAAAATCTATATTTTACAAAGCAGAGGCATGACAGCAGCTGCTGAGCTTTGGGGCAAAAGCCTACGAGTTCATACTATTTTGTCTATTGATTTATCTGAACCTTAAATGACTGATTATTTTATTTCTAGAGAAGAGATTTCATCCTTTATTCTTGGCCATTAGTAAAAATCCCTTCCTTAATTGACATAGTAAGATTGTTTGTGCAAAAGAATAATCTTTACTAGGCAGCATAAGGTATACATGAACAATTTTTTGCTTACATGCAAGCATGTATATACAAACATCGACAAATACATGTATATGTCTATTTGCATAATGTGTCGTAAGTCTAACATACAAAATTTTGGCATCTTTACATAGGAATTGAATTTGAATAAAATTAGAGTAAGATGCATGCATTCTTTTGACAAAATTCTCATTCTAAATGAGTTCTAAATGAATAAATTTGTAAAATACTAAACAAAAAAGAAAGAAATGGTAGTCCATACGATAAAAATGGAGAAAAAAAAAAGCTAACCACTTCCTGAAATGTGAAAGAAAATCATTAAATCCACTTAATATTTATTCAGTAAAACTCTTCCAAAATGTTGACATCTGTGATTTGTATTGATACAACTGAGGAAAACAATCTGAATTTTAACTCTTCTCTATGAGCAATAATGTTAACAGTATTGTCTTCACTGTGCTAGTATGTAAAAATACCGTGAGCAAAATTTTCAGTAACTACAACTCACCTTGAGAGATTTGCATATGCTCCTATCAATAAGATCTACTGTAAAATTTCTGATTTAAAAAAACAAACAAATTTCAAAACAAAGCATTTTCTTGGTGTGTGTAGAGTACTCTAGTGTAACTAAGAATCAAGAGAACCTGGATTACAATGTAGCACATTTCAGGAAACTTTATTTAAATCCCAAAACACTTAAGTTATAGGGAAATATTATGTTAAAATATACTTTTTAATGTCACAATATATCTGAAGGCAAATCCCAAATATAGTACTAAAGGAGCATTAGTATGAAACATCTGTAAATCTTGCATAGAAGTCAGGTTTAAAATTTAAAGTTAATTACATACACAGAAATTTTAGATGTTTGATACACTTGAGAAATGCAGTAACTTCATACCTAGAAGAAAGGAGTATGACTAGTAAATTGCTATATTAAGGACAACTTCAGCCTTAAGGGAAGAGAGAATTATAAATACTCTGAATTAACAGGAATGTCAGGGAATATAAAATCTCAGATAAATCTACAGCAGATTTAAAAATACATAGGTGATTTTATAAATCAACTGTTTTATACCCTCTTAGAAAATTCTAATTGGCAGAATAAAAAAAAATTGACAAGTTAAGTAAAATGGAACTAAGTCAATGCATACAACCCATGAACCAACTGTGCTTTGGATTCCAATATCCATCACCATGTATTTTTTTTATGAGAACATGAAAATATGTACTTGAGCTGTTAAATTTCTTCATTTGAATGCAAATTTATATTTAATCAGTTATTGCAATGTTTGACCCGGGCTGAAGGAACTGGCCCATTCTATAGGAATAAAGCGGCTAATTTAGAAAAAGAAATAGCTATGAATAAGATATGTGTGTGGAAAATTAGTGGACATTTATAAAATAATCCCAGAAAGAAAGGGAATCATAAATAGATTAAACTATCCTGAAGTGAAAATAACTAAAGAACTGGAAAATGTTGTTAGTTCTTTTTTTCAATGACAGACTTTCCCAAATTAAAGAAATGTAAAATTCAAGTTAATTAAACACGAGGAAAAAAAAATGAAAGAAACACTCAGAAAATGCCAGTCTGGATTATTTCCTGGGTCTCCATCTATTAATAGGATCGGTCCATGAAATCAGCCTTTGCCCAAGTGAGCTGAAGACGCCCAGGCGGGCGGACATACTCACAGGAGCAGCAGAGGCCTTGTTTCCCCACGCCAATCAACATGTTCAGGCAGAGATTGCAGTAGGCAGGTTTGTTAAAGTGCTTGAGTCGCCACACATGCTGTCCGTCATCCTTCACATTCTGCACGGGGCAGGGAAGAAACAGATTTCACTTAATGAAATAAACAGTAGAATATGTAAGTGCCAATAAAATTCAGAGCTGGACTGAAGCATTAGAAGACAATCTGTTATTTCATCTCTGACTTTCTCCAAGATCGCCACAGAGTGCTCAGAAAAACACATGTGCTCTTGTGGAATGACATACTGCTAACAAATTTCCGATGCTATAGCAACCTTCAAATCCTTGCTGGTGTCAACAGTTCAACAGCACACTCAGAACCATCATAATGACCTGCCACGTGGAGCACTCCCTAAGAACAAGGACAAGGACGTGCCCATGTTGCCTTTCAATACTTTATGGTTAGCACAATTCCACACACTAGTAAATGAAGAAGACAGAGAAAATATTCTTTATTGCAAGGACCTGAGAAATGAAAACTTGCAAAGATTATGTGAACCTTTGATTGGTATTAGGTTATGCAAAAGTTAAAACGGTGGTTATTCTTATAAGACAGTAGAAGAAAAGTGAAATCCAATGGGAAAAGCAACACAAGAAAGATATGGTGACATTCTGGACCTCAGCTGTAGATTCCTAAGGTGTTACAATTTAGTGTGATACATTCTATGTCTCAATAAAATTAATAGACAAACATTTTAAGGTTTTAATTACATTATCATTTTGCTTATTCATCTTTTGTAAAATAGAAATGATTGTACTTTTTCAGAAAGATGGTAAAATATCGAAAGGGTATTAATATATTTACAACAATCACTATAATTATTTGCCACAAATTAAATCTTGAGTTTATATTAGCTTGTACTTAAAGATATTATAATTATTGTTTAAGGTACCAAATAAACACTATATAATACCCTAAATACTTCTCTAATCAGTTTAATGATAGCAGCATTGCTCAAAGTAAAAATGACATGAAATAATACAATGCTAATGAAACTTGAACTCCTTACAAGGCAGTTGAAATAGTGCATGAAGTTACCATATGTTATTACTTCTGCTAATATCATTTTTAATTAAAATATGCTCTTTACTCTGTTTAATTTGTTTGAAACTAACTTCAGATGTCACTTATTGACATCATTATATAGCATATATATATATATATATATACATATATATATATATATATATAATTTTTTGGTTAAGAAACTGTCATATTTCTTAGACTATATTCACCAAATACTACTTGATCACCTACTATGTGCTGGGAAGCTAATAGTAACTATGTAGCAATAGAATGATATAAACATGCCCAGATCATTTTGTTTCTGATAATAAAATATGAATAATAATCCCCAACCATATTTTTCTATTCTCAGTCAAGAGATAAACTGCTAGATTTGAAATAGCAGAGAAAATCCATAATAACTGATTCTTCCATTGGAATCAGAAATGTCAAATTTGCATCATAGTATAAAACATTAATGAAAATGCTTCCTGGGAGACAATTCTCTATGGGTCTCTTGAATTACTGCTAGCACTTTTTTCAGAAATTCTCTTGGACGTGCTTGAACAATACAAAGCCTTGGACAACAAAGATATGTCTCCCTCAAGAGGAGAGGGCAGGTTTATTAATTGCCCAGGTTTTTAAGGATAATGTCTCACCCCTAAGAAAAAGGTTCAACAGGTTTCTGTTTAGCACATTAAGAGATTTAGTTTCTGTGAGTTCTGATGCTGTGCACTGCAATAACTTTTGTCCTGCAATATTATTTCCATCTTAGTTACTTTTCTCATTGCGGAGACAAATTATCTGACTCCCCAAGTTAAAGGAGAAAAAGGTTTATTTAGCTCACAATAGGTACAGTTTCAGTCCATAGTTGTTTCCAAGGGAGGGTGGCATATGACACAGGGGCAAATGTAAATGACAGCAGGTGATAGCAAAAGTAGCAAAGAGCTTAGCAGCATATTTCTTCCCCTTTTATATTATATTTAGACTGCAGTGATTAGGGTGATGCCAAACCAATCAGTGGACTGATTTAGTAATCACACAGCTCCAATCCTAGAATCACACACTCTGGATTCAGCCATCTCTGATGACGCCTAAGACTGCTTGAGGCTCTGGGGTGATATCTAGACACAAACCATAACAATCCCCAAGAAACTCAGGAAAAAATGTGAACTCAGATAAGCATTAATGAGAAGAATGAAATGCAAATTCATCTCATTGTCTGACCCAAGACTCTCATCTGTTTTGCTGGTAGTCAGGAAACCGTGACAAACTAACACAAACCCCAATAAGTAAGGTGAATCCCAGACATTTTAAAAATATCAAAAATATTCATATTGTTGTGATGCAAGCCCAACAGGATTTTGATAAAAGCAGTAATGTTAAAGATTTCTTGGAAAGACCTTAAAATGAAGCTGGTTCAATTTTCTTCCAAAATTTAAGAACAAAGCTTTGCAGTAATTTCTTAATTCATTCCAGTTTGAATGAGTCATAAATTTCCTAGAAGCTATACAACATAAGTAGAATATATTTTTAACATTGCTATGCTTTACAAATATTTTGTGTTTTCATACTTTATTATACTAAAATAGTAAACATCTAAAGGAAAAAAGTTAAAATATAGGCCCCGATTTTTTAAATGAACTAATGAATATTAAAGAGAATGGTTAAATGTTTTAAAACTTTTAAATAACAGGAGAAATGAAAACTAATTCTGATTTTTCTCTGAGTTGCTGTTCTGATCGTCCCTGTCATTTCATTTTTAAACGACTGTCCATCCTGTTGCAGCGCACATATGGACTAAGTTAGCTGGCATTTTCCTTATCAAAAATAAGCAAGTCTGAACGTGGGTGTTCTGTCAATCAGAACACTTAGCCATGTTACAGGCTGCAACTGATGTACAAAGCCATTACCCAGGCATAAAATGCTTTACCAAAACACAAATTAAATAGCTTTATAGCTCTTAGCCGGATGTATTGCCAAAATATGCAAGGGATGAAATATGGATGTGACTTCTTGAGGAGAAGAAATTGAAAATGAGAGCCAACTACTTCTCAGCAGTGCAAATTACACTCCAACTCTGTATTTCCATGTCTGGTCTTGTTTGTCTTAAGTAGATTGTAAACTTGATAGGAAAGAGAGAGAATCTGTCTCTTTCTATATTCAATCAGCCAAGAAAGCATATTTCTATTAGTACTTCTGTTGCAAAATAAATATTTATTGCCAAGAAAGGAATTCACTTTTATTATTAAAAAAAAAAATGAACAGTGAATCCAGGGGTTTGATTCCTAGCCTTGGATGAAACTTTTGCATAAGCTCCTTTATCTCTCTCCCTATTTTCCTCTCTAATAAAACGCAAGTGCTAACTACCTTTCCCCCAGATCACAGTGTGAGGTTTCATTATAAAATATCTGTGAAGTTAATGTAGCTCCTTGGAAGGTAGGCATTTATATAAATAGCAAATATTATACTGTGACTGGGTTGAGTTGAATAACATCCCAAAGTTTCAGTCAAAGGAATTCAGAAAGATATATGTAGGTTCACTATGTTTTTACATAACATTTGCCTTTTTGATACCCTGTAATGACACAGCTCAATTCTGGCTTATGAAGGCAGGAAAAATAGAGTGAATCCTGGGCTCCTCCAGGCTAAGGAGCAGCCTTAAGGTCTTCTTCAGTTCTCATTCCCCGAAAGCCAAAAGGATATTTCAGTGGGAAGAACACGTGAAGGAACTCACTGAAACTGTTTTTCTATCTGAGCAATTTGTGAAGATTTAGATATTTCCTACATATTGTCAAGATCATATTCAATGTTCAGTGAACTGCAGCTAATACAAAGAACATTTCTCCCAGAAATTTCAAGGAGAAATGATGCTAATCTCCCAACCCAAGTCCTGCCAGCCCTGCATCCAGCCCTGTTACGGTGACTTAACATGGGACACAGACTAGCTAACGTTGTAAATTTCTCCAACTCATTAAATAAGCTCCTTACTATTTTGTTGAATGTCTTAAAAATACATGTCAGTATAAAACAAACCATTCTTTCAGAAAAAAGAAAGGATCTCTTTTGGAACCAAGACAATTTAGAGAGAACTATTAACATCCAGGGTTGGTTTGCAAATGACTGGTAATTTTCATACTGTACTTTCTGTCTTTAGGATAGGTTCTTGTAATTCCTATGCATTAAATGTAAACACAAAAGTGCAAAACAACACACATTTTTTTTGAATGACCTAATGGAAATCTTGAGAGTTGTCATATCTTTCTTGTTTTGTAAACCCATTTTGATTGAATAATGTTTAGAAAGCAGAACAAAAACTCATAATCCAATTAAATTGTAAAAATTGGAGTATTAAACATCAGTTTTCTAATTTGGTTAATTAAAAATACATCATCTTCTAAACTCTACCCCTCAGATATTTGACAAGAGAACACAAAACATTGTCCTGTTTGAAGTCTAGAAAAAATAAATAAATAAAAGGTGTCCTAATCAACTCAAAGGCAAAATCTGTAGTACCTATGAGAACTGAAGACTGAGATACCTTTGTACACACAGTGTGAGAGGCTAGCATCCCATTCAAATCAATGCAGGTTCCATGAAAACTTATAATCCTCATACAGAATGTTAGGGTATCCTCACTTCAAGGCTACCATAACGTGTGCAATTCTTAAATCAATTACATATGTGCAATACCTAAATATGTGCTTCTATTTTTATGAGAGTATGAATTCAGAATATTTCCTGGAACAAATTTGTGAAGACTTGAGATTATACATTTCAGGGAGTGAAGCACTATTTATTATTCACTCATCTGGATAGAGGAATGCTAGAATTAGAAGAGCATTGGAAAAGAAAACAGGCATTTGGCTGTGTGTGTGTGTGTGTAAAGAGTAGCTGTTCAGCACAATGTAACCCAGTTAGCCAGCACTCAATTGGATGAGGTGTGCTGATTCTCTGTACTCTCTCCATGAGTCCCCATTTCTGGCTGTGATTTCTGTCTGCTAAGAGGTGTTAAATTCTTTTTACCTCAATGAATAAAAAGGAATTAAAACTATTTCTGCTTGTAATAAGAATCACTAGTGATAGAACAGATCAGCACCTGCCAAAATGGGGCATTGGGTCAAATATTTCGAGTAACCTGCTTTGGCAGATACAATTTTATTGGGACCAAGATTTAATAGCTTGTTTGTACAATGTCTGAGAGAGCTTTGTGCTATAAGCAGCAAATCTGTGTATTGTGACAGAGACTTTATGACTCCAAAGCCTAAACTCCTCAATATCTGTCCCTTTCTAGATGCCAATCACTATCACAGATAATTATTAACAAAGAAAATATTCTTTATTCAATGACATCTTTAAAAATTGTTCAGGGATATGACTGATGAAGAACGGCTAATCAGTCTCGCGTATCAAGTTTTATAGTGGTAATCAGAATCTGAAAACTCTCCAGACCTCAGTGTTTCTTCAAATGTACCAGGCTGTAAGATTTTGTATGATTTCTGACCTCTTTATTTTGTGAAGAGTGCACAAACTTTTTTGAGAGAAATAAAATCATTCTTGCTATCTATTCTTCGGCATAGAATCAGGTCCAAATGAACTATATTTCTGAACGTTGGTGGCAAAACCGAGCATGTAAAGTCAAGTACCGTTTAGGGTTCTATTGATGGAGAAAAATAAACTACCGTGAAACCATGACTGTTAGAATCGAGGCTGGTTCTCCCAGGGAGCCTTTCCTAAGTGTGTAATTTGGTTGGCCCTCTGCAGTCCTTTCGAATACACTGTGGTGTTTAACATTCACTCTCAATTATAATCTACTCCCCGGCCTCATAAATGACAACAGACAATAATATATAGGACAGCATAACAAGGCACGCTTCACAATTAATGGCCAACTTCAAGCTGAAGCTTCTAGAATTCCGTTTAATAAGCCAAAAAGTGTGATGAGAGGTGGGACACATGGTATTATGGATCAAATTACAGGTAATAACATAACACATTAGCCATGTACTGAAAGGATATAAATCTCAATTAGTAAAAAAGAAAAAAAAAAAAAGGCTGTCATCACTCAGCTGTCTTGGTGTCACTGGCTATTTAAAATATGTGCCATAGAATTAAAAAGCTGTTTCTAGCAAATACATGTTGCTTTACGCTCATTACATGTGGTTATAAGATTTATGTATTTTAGTAAAAGGACATTTTTAAATATAGTTACCTTATTTTTTTGAAAGATGCAAAAGAAAAAAAAAAAAAAAAAAAAAAAAAAAAAAAAAATTTCCCCAGAGTTCCTTACGTGCAAAAAAGTACATAAAGTGCTCTCAGATGTTAGACAATGTTGCCCTGCCATCTAGTGGTCATAACAGGAAATGTACTTCTGGGACACCACAGACCTTAAATTGATTTCTCCGGTTAAATGTTGATCTTTTTGCACTAAAAACACAACATATTAAGTTACAAGAAAAATTTAAAGTCAGTTATGTATAACTCACCAAATTAAAATTAAAGGCAAGGATTTTCACTGGATTAATCTTGCCATTACTTTAGAAATTAATGAAGTATGTATTATATTTGTTTAAAATAGTTTGAGCTAAATTCATATAGATTTGTGAACTATCTTAGCCATAGATTCTAGACAATAATATCTAAAAATATCATTTCAACATACATGTGCTACCTAATATACAGGTGACGTTCTACCTTTTAACCCCTTTCTTTCAACTAGGAAAGCTATTTCTCTACTCCTTCCTACACCTCGGTCCTTCATTAATAAGATAATTTAGGAAGATCCAGAGAATACACAAGTTCTTGCTTTAAAATATGAAATTCTCCTGTAGGAAATCACTAATGGAGCCTCCTGAATGGAGACATTGGCTAATTTGGCCACGCAGAATACGCCAAATTCAGAATGTTGCCGTTTGTCAATCTTTCTTTTGTGTCCACCTAGTCATCTGATTTTCAAGAGATTTTCCTCAGAAGGTACACTAAACAATGAGATATTTATAGTATAGAACTATAGATTGTTATTATAAAAGATACTCTATTTTATTAGCATACAAATATAACATATGAAGTCTTATTTCATTATCAAAGTATAAAGTATGTATTTATGACCAAGAAGATCTATGTTTTTTATATGTTTTAATTTTTATGCAGTACTTACTAGCATTTTTTTTTATTTTCTTCCCTCTAACCATGACTAAAATCTCTTGGGTCTCATGAAAGTAGGATGAAAGTAACATTAAAATATTTGAAGCACTGTATACAAAAGAAATAAATGCTGATGCCCACCAAAATACAAAATGTATAACCTCTTGAAGCCCATTAAATACTATATTCAGATGTATTTCTGAGTTCTATGATCACGTGTATATTCCTAAATCCATATGCCGTAACAGATTTGTACACATGCTCACGTGTCTTATGTGTGCAAACCGTAAGATGCCTTGAGAGCTGACTTACAATGAATTTGTACGTTGAATAACTGCAGTATGGTCTTCAACCAACAAAATTTTTTGCCAGTAACAGAAAGCATGAAAAATGTTGAGGGCAACAGCAAAGTGAACACTATGTGAACACTATGCTTTTGTCTCTAAAAACTTTTAAAATTATAAATTTTTATTGAGCCTTTCACTCCTAGTATTCTTTGAGTCTAAGCAAACATATAACTATGTACATATTATAGTTAATTCTTACTTAATAGTTGATGCTGAATACACAATGTAGCATCCACTGTTAATGCCATCAGATTTTTTATTTAATTACTAAAATTGACTTCTAGGATGCGTCGCCCTGATTTGCTTTCAAAGTCATTTTTATACCACATTGTGATTCTAGATTGATTTGTTTTATTTCCCTAAGTCAGTATGTAATTGCCAATGCAACTGGCACTGGACTCATAAACACACACAAAAAACCAACTATATCAAAATATCCTCTCAATTGCTCAGACACCCAATTCCTTCTTTCATTACTGGGCTTCGAGAAATAGGTGATATTGATGGAATGGGGGTATACAATAGGATCACAAGAGCCATCTAACGCAGTAATACTGGGGAGTGTCTTGTATTATATGACTTATGAGTAGGTCAATAATTTTCCAAAACTAAATTGCACTTTAAGTACAAGGAAAAGAAGAAGAAGAAATACATATGCAAACCTCAGGTATTACTTTAAATGAATCAATATGTTTGTGGCAATTATCACTACACAAGGAGTTACGTTAAATGGCACCTTGGTAAATTTCACAGAAGATCCAGGCGCTGACTACATGCTTATGACAGAAAATGCCCAGATCAATTTATAATCAAAAGGTGTAATGGAGAGCACCGCTGTGTAAGTGCTTACATTTTCTAAGCCCAAAAGTACAAGAAGTGGGATTGTGGTCATTCCTCCTTGAATCCATTCCTCCAAAGACACCGTTCCGTCATGATCATAATCGATTTCTTCCATCATTTCATGAAGGATCTGGAGAAAAGAGAATGAGGGGAAAGTTTCAAAGAATCAATAAAATAAATCGTGTTTAATACAACAAAACATTACATGGAACTTTTTATTTCAACAGGGACCAGTAGCTAAATGGAGAGTTGCCATACACAGTTTGGTTATGTAACACAACATTAATCGTATTATTGAAAAGATAGTGAATGTTACAGCTTCTAGAACTTGGATACCAACACCAATCAACTTGCAAAAATAAGATCTTAAAATTTTATTACTTTTCCAGTGAATAGCACAGTTAAAATAAGGAAGTAGCTTCAACAGTGAAAGTGGTCTTTAATTACTTTCTTGAGGTTTTTTTTTTTTTTTTTTTTTTCGTTCATATATATGCCAGAATATGTCTGAACAAATTAACTTCATGGCAAAGAGCTCAAATAACTCTGCTAAGTAGAAAGAAATGAGGGAATTAAGTTGCTTTTAATTGTCTATCAGAACTTAATAAAGCCAAAAAGTTAAATGATCTAATCATATTTGATTAGACTTCCTTTCTGAAGATGATTTGCACATAATATTCCAAAATGTTCTCCATGGTGTTATAACGCTTTTGCCTCTGTGGTTTGATCATAATCTCAGTACTTACTTCAAAGACCTGTCATGAGAATTAAATGAGCTAAGCTTTTATAAGTAGAAGACACACTGGCATATATACTAAGCACATAGAAAGTGCTGTTTGTGTCATTATTAATGAAGATAATGTGAGTATTGCAACCAGGTAACCTTTGGCTGCCGAAAACCAGAAAAAAAGTTTCCCATCAATAATGGCACCGTTAAATTGTCAACTTCTGTAAGAACTCCAAGAAGGAAAGGAATTCATTGTTTTTTAGATAACATGGAAATTATCAACAGTCAAAAAGAAGGAATCAGGATTAGTAGAAATGTGAAAGGTTGCAATAAAAGAAATATATTGTTTCCTGGTAGAACCATTATTCCCCTAAATATTTCTGTGCTTGGTAATTTACTGTCTTTCCTCACTTAGTCTTTGAAAACTAGATTACTGTCTTTCATAACAACATACTGATCTATAAGTACTCGGATGAGAACTGTTAGGCATACGATGATGCTGGAGGAATCATTTCATTATTAAAGAAAAGGAAGTATTTAGAATTTCAGAAAATGGCAGAAGGCCAGCTAAAATGCCCTGCCTCTTGAAGACATGCTGATGAATTATCAGAGAATGAATAAATGAGATGAAATAAAAACCCAGAACACCTGTTGTGGGCGGTTGATGTTTTCATTTTATTTTCCTGCAGCTAACGTTACAGTCTGGATTAGCCTGATAAAATCTCCTTCTGAAGACATTTGTCTTTCCCTAATACTCAAGATCAGTATCAAATACTTATCTTTAATCATATAAAGGCTTTATTACATTAAAAAGAGTCTTTGAACGTGTACATTTGTCTCAGAAGAAGAGAGTTGCTGAGGCATTTGCGGAAGTGAGGCAGCTACTGTGACTGCGGACACAGCATTCAAGGTCAGGCTTTTGTCTTGATTTCCCACAATTTAAACTGCCCAGGTGGGAGGTGGGAGTGGCTATATCAGGAACATGCATGACAAATAATGCAACAGACATTGCTTTATTCTCCAGAAGGTTCTTGTCATTTCTGGGCTGTGCAGACACCGCTTTGTTTTGTTTTGTTTTGTTTTTCTATCATCTACATCTCATTTTTTGCATACGTACATTTCTATGTAAACAAGAGTAATTTATGCCAGGAGGTCACAGGGATCACTTATGCTTTAAAAAGCTGATAGGAAAAAAAAAAAAATCTCCCTTCTTCACTCCCATGTGAACAAGCAGGCTTGACTGACAGATGGGAAACTTCCTCAGATAATAAACCAAGTAGGAAGAGAGAGCTGGTCTACGTGCAGGTAATCAAAAAGGCCAAGGAAACGTTATGAAATCCCTAGATTTCAGTGAGAAGAGGGCTCGGTGAATCAGGCAGTGCATTAAACACAATCACTGCTGGGTTTACTGTTCCATAGACATATGACCACCTGTAACGATAGTGCCACTCATTATGGCTCAGCAGGTATTTATCCACATCAAAACAAACAAAAGCTCAAAATAGGGTGGTGTTAAAACTGGAAAAATCTTAACCCTTGTAGGAACGGTGCTATCTTTGAACCACGCCATTTACTTTATTTCCTTTAGGTTAGAAACAATGGGAAATGAGATGGCAGTGCCTGAATCACATAATCCTGGCATTATTCTACCTCCAACTGCATATGTGTGAACACTGTTTACAAACAGCCTTCTGGAATTCATATACCATGTTAAAAAAAAAAAAAACTGATCCATCTTTGCTCTATTCATGTTTACTTGGCTAAACTTAACTGGCTTCAAAAATAAACTAAAATCAGTATCTCCAATAAATTTCTCATATTACCTGTGGCTGAAGTCAAAAGTTTTGCACAAGTATGGTACAAATACATTGAAATGGTACTGGAAGTTTTATCTAAATCTGTTTAAAATTAGAAGTCTTTATATTCTTACACACATTTTGGGATACTACTGCTTTGAGGAACTTAATTCAAAATTCCTGGCTCTTAACTTTAACCAGGTTGAAGAGCGCTGTGTAAAGATTTTCAACCTACCACTGGGAGTCCCAGGATCAGAGTCCAACGGCCTCAGTTGTTCACGAATTTTTCCTTAAAACCTAACGGATAATTGTTGGGGAAAACCCCTGCAACATTTCGCAGGAACCACAAACATTCTCTGCATTTGTTTTGTTTTGTTTTTGTTTTTGTTTTCAAGAAGCCAATGGGAGAGTGTTATCCAGGTCTCCTTCCTGCTGATTGGCTACTGCCTTACCCCATCTCTAGCAGATGCACCTGCTCTGAGCTCTCCCGTATCATAACAGTTTACTGTGCTGTGTAGCTACGTTCAGTGTTCTTAATTTTGTTCTTTTTAAAATCCCTAAAATGCTGCCAAAAGGCACTGCACCTTCTAAGGCTTTATTAAGACAGAATTCACTTAAATTACATAACTGCAGCAGATATAACATATTTAAACTTTTCTTTAAAAATGAGCATTTACAGCTACTCTTCTGACCATATGTGAAATTCACCCTGTTTTAAGAACATACCCCCTGCGAATTTCAGGGGTCCACGTATTTGGGTCTTAATCCATGAAATGAAGAAAACGATGTGTCTGAAAACTGTAAGCACCCAGGAACATACACACAGGCAATAACAAAGTGAACTGTGCACAGAACTATTTCATCACGATCTTTTTATGAAATGCACAAAGGATTTCTGTTTACCTTCGTGTATGATAAGTGAAACATTCAAAACAATTTCAGTGCAGAAGAAAGTGAGAGTTACTGCTAAAAGCATTATGTCATCACATGGACCTGGCTGTCATATTCAAAATTCACTTTGATTTCTGATTAGAAATGGTAACACAGTTATCCAAAGACAAAATCAGATTTTAGTAAGGTCCTTGAAAAGATAACAAGGAGAAGGACCCTCTCAAATTCAGTAAAAAGCCAAATCAGTCATCTACCTACTGGGTTAAGCTCGGTGACATCCCATTCAAGGTACTCTGCGACATGCATCATCTGACTGATGATATTTTCCAGCTCCTGGAGAACAGGGACCGGGGAAGAAGCAGAAGATCATGTTAACCTTTCACTTAGAGGAAACATTTTGTTCAAGAAGCAGCTCAAATATAAGAATTCTATAATCATTTATCTTTACACAAAATGCTTTTTTAGTATCATGCAGCCAAAGAGAGCACACACAGAATGCTTTTCAAAGATCTGATTAACTACACAGAAAGAGGAATTTAAATATGAAGTTGTCTTGTGCTTTGCCTAGACACTTTCACCAAGAGAGGGCACAGTGATACCAAGAAATAGTTTCTTCTGGAAGCAGTACCTTATGAGTGCAGGAACCAATGTATATTTTCACAGGAGGGAATTTTTTCAAGTCACGGAGTAGCCTGACCCTTTGGCTTGAAAACAGATGTTGAAGGGTGGAAGGAAGGATTTGAGAGTGACTGAAAGGTTTATTTTTATTTTGATACTCTGAGAACATCTATTGACCGTGCTAGTCATTTATTGAGATAGTTCGCTCGCAGCAGGGTGTTCCGGGTCAAGTTTTGGAGGCTAAGTGTATATAGTTTATTTTGTGAGTGGATGGAACTTTAGTTTGGATTTTCATATTATTCTGTTTAATTGTAAACCCTTTGAAGAACTTCTAGGTAATACACATTGCTTGATTTAGTAAATTAAAATACTTTTGAAATGTATATATTTAACATTTTAAATTTTTCATTGTTATATACTGAAAAAAAATTAAATATGATTTTTAAAAGACAAATTTAGTTATAAATATACAGTATAGCTTAAATTGGTGTTTTAAAGTATAATTTAAAATGTTAGAAGTATAAAAGTATAAAACTTAAAAGTATGCTAATCAAACATTATTCTACACAAATCTCTCTTGCAATATGTGTGGTCAATTTTCACTGGATAGAAAGAAGGTGGTTTTAAGTGTCTGTTTGGGAATTACATTCTCTCTGAGAAACTATTAAATGCTATACTCTTTAATTCCAAAAAAATTTATAAATGTTATTTATGTAACACAATTTGTCCTGGCATTAATATAAATACAAAAGTATTTTTAGAAGCATAATTAATTATGCTAACGTTGTGTGTATTGTATAGCTTGTGTGTGTGTGTGTGTGTGTTACTAACCTCTCACCTACTACTGTATCTTTGCTTAAAGTCACTTTAATAGTTTGGGTGAGTTAATGAGAGCTGGGATAATTTTTTCAGAGCAGAAACTTTTTCTCAGAACTTAATGTGACATTACATAGGTTATCTAACCTCATGCTCAGATTTGTCATCAGTAAAGCGAATATTCTCACTTTTTCTAGTTCTTAAATTTACCTCAACGGTTAAACGTGTTCTTCTATGGAGTACATTAATCTTATTGTTTGACATGTTACAAATGAAGAGTACAAATAAGTCTTATTTTGAGACAGTTACAATTTTTAAATTATCAATTTTCTCCCTATTTTGCTTCGAAAATGTTAACTGCTACACATTTAAAATATTAACACCAATGACTTCAGAAGATAGGATTTAAAAGTGATGTTGAGGGAAATTATTGGTATAGTAGATTGGAGCAAATCCTAAATATTAAATACAAATATTTAACACAAAAAAAGTAGACAAAGATTAATCATAAACAAATTAAATTTATTCTTAATCCCTTGTTGAATTTTGGGAACACAATTATAAATAATGAGAGAGAACTGCCATATCAGAAAATGGCGAGAGAACAAAAAAAAAAAATGTTTTGAATGAATTTATAGACCACCTGCCCATGGGTAAAAGACTAATAAAGAAATATCACAAGTTTAATTTAAAAGAAACAACAAATAAAACAAATCTGCATTAAAATACACTTTGCATGAGTGTAGCCATTAGTGTGAGCATGAGGAAAGTGAAATATCTAGAGAAAAAAATCGTAAATTCCTAGTGCCAGAGCACTAGGAAAATGAGGAAATTTACTATGTACCGTAATATTCCTAAAAGGAAAAGGGAAAATTAGAAGTCACTTAAAAGGAACACCACAGGAAAAAAAAATACTGAGCCCTAAACATAAGAAATCCTATAACAACAGTCTCTAGCACTTTCCTAGGGTAGGAATTATACTTTTTTATTTCTTTCTGGAGAAGCTAACATGCCATTTATCCTGTTCAGTGGTACATAAACCTGTGTTCGAACGCCTCACTTTCCTGTTACTCACTTATTGCTTTATAACATTATTGCTTTTTTGCCATCTCTTTTTCATAAGAGAATGGAAAACAATATTAAACAAAATATTTATTTTCAAGCATATACTGTATTATTGGATGAAACCTGAGATAGACTTTCACCAAGTACTGGTGCAGGAGGCTGATTTCCACTTCTCAGCAACTACTGGTGGTTTTCATATCCTACAAACACAATGAACATTTAATAGTTCTTTCTAGCTAATCATACAGAAATGGTATTTCTCTCCCATGTTATGTTATTTAAACTATACTGTGTAGTATCTATAAAATTGGATGAGATATTTTAAAAAGGTAGTTTGTCAAGTCAGTCTGTAATCACATTTATTTCAACAGTATGTACGACAAAAATACTTTTTAAAAATGACAAAATAAAAAAAAAATAAATTGACTTTGTAGTTCCTTTAGGTTCTGCTAATACTCTCAATATTTTCTTTACTGTCAGATCTCACAAGTAGTTTTTCTTTCTAGATCAATGGTCTCAACATTACCTTATGTTTTATTCAGTCAGTGTTGGAATCTTCCTTTTTTTATGTAAGTTCAGCACAGAAAAAAAGTTATGCTTTGGTAACAAAACTTCAATAGAAGAATCATAATCCTGCCCCTTAGACCACTTTGTCTCCTAAATGCCAAATGATAAAAATGTCATATGAGTAGTTGTGATATTACATCTTCCTTGTTTGGTGATAGCTATACATTTGTTCACTGCATTTTTTTCAGAAGAAATTTCTTTAAAGTTTTCTGAAAATTCTAATTGAAAAATTACCGAGCTGTCCAGGAAGCCATTCCCATCTGTGTCATAAAGGCGAAACATAACTGGAATAAAAAAGGCATTGAAAAAGACTATAAGTGAACAGGATCGAGGTTAGTTTAAAGCACATTCTTTAAAATTTAGGCTGTGTTGAAAACATGCACTAAAATCCTCCTCTTTTCAAGCAGTTATTTCATAAGATCATTTACCAACTCATATTAAAAATGAATGAATCAATCAACCAATAAAATACTGGATATTAGATTTAATATCTGTCAAATTTTGTTTGTATATAAGGAACACTCAAATGTAATTCATTTATCTCAAAAGTTTTATTACTAGATACATAATCAAATATAACAGAAGTTGAAACATACAGAATCTGGGTAAAAAAACGTATTTGGAAATTTAGAAGTAAATCATAATTTAGAATCCACTACTCCATGAGTTTTGTGCAACATTGTTTTCTTGGTTATGACATGAAAATAGCCTTCTTACCACAAAACACATCTTTGTAGTGACAGTTAAGTGAGTTGGTATACATACATGCATGCCACCCAACCAGAGCAGTGCAAAACAAGGGATCCTTCTTTGATGAAAGAGACCAGCACAGGGGCGCAGTGTTAGCATTCCTATAGTGGGTCACATGCTAAGATCCGTGGTGGAGCTTCATTAAGGTAACTAATCTTCAAACTAAGGAAGTAGAGAGTTTGGCTGTCTGCTACTGATCTCAGGAAAGCAGGATAAACCCCCTGACCAGCCTAGGCCTCCCTTGTATAATCTACAGACCACTGGGACACCATGGAAGATGCTGCAGGTGGTGTTTTGGGATAAATAGTGAAGAATGATCCAGCTGTAAAAACAGAAGAGTAGAAATAAAAGTTTGTGTTGGATTTGTATTATTTCCTGGAGGATCTTGAGATCTGAGGTGTGTGCTATTAATATAAAAACAGTAGTAACAAAAAGATCTAATTATGCAGTGAGTTTAATCATTAACTGTAATTATTCTTATATTTAATGATTATTATATTTCATTGCTCTAAAATATGATTATTTATAAGATGCAAAATTAGTCTCTAGCCACTAAAAATGCTACCAACTTAATGACTTAATTTCTTTTTTTTTTTTTGCAAAAGGCACCTAATATTAATAATGTTAAAGTGTGAAAGAAATGTGTGCATTGAAATAAGGTAAATAAATGCTAGATCAGCTTGAAGACTTAAATTTTATTTTCAAATCACAGGGATCATTCTGTTTCAAATCTCAATAAATGAAATTAAATGCAGGAGGTATATATATATATATATATATATATATATATTACAATGTGTGTATAGACCATGATGTTCTATTCCAGCAGCAAATGATAAACTACATTTTTTTAAAATACCATGAGAGAGGAGATTGACACCAGAAAGAAGTCACAGGCTCACACAAGTTTAGTTATGTTATAGAACAAGTGGCACTATGACTCTGTTAGTATCTGCTGGAATAAATCACTGCAAAACTGCCTGATAGTATTCACACTTGTGGGAACTTTGTGTCCACTGGTAGCGAGGAAAGGGAGAGCTTATAAAATGAAAGTTTCAATCTGTTATGGTTTGTGTCTGGATGACCCCTAAAGTCTCATGCAGTCATACGGGCAGGTTTCTAGAGTTTGCAATTTATTCATGGTGCATTGCTGGGATAATGGGTGTGAGTAATACACCTACCCTGAGGGTGGATAATCTACCTAATGGATGGAAGAGTCTTCACTCTTGCTCTTCCCCTTTAACTCTTTCTGCTTGTGCTGTCTTCTGCTGCCATGAACTGCTGCCTCTGCCACTAACCAACTTGCCTTGCACCTAGTAGATTATGGACTGAAACTTCTATTGAAAGTTAAATAAAATTTTCCTTCCTTAATTTTGGGTGCCAAGCATTTTGTCTCAGCAATGAGAGAAAAGAAACCAAAATACAATCCAAGACACAACACTAAAAGGTTATTATAAAAGTTTTGTTGACAACAAAATGAGCTCTCTATGATGTTAAAAGTATGAATGAGAAAGTGAAAGAGAAGATATCTCAAGGTGTAAAATACATGTATGTATCTAGTTGAGTAATGAAAGACATAAAGGCAAATAGCATAGAAAATAGGGAGAGAAAGAATAATTACCATGCAAAGTTATGACTTGGGAGTTCAGTGACCAAATACTATTGATTCTAAGACAATAAAGGTAAAATAAAAGAGATGGCAATTATAAACAAAAACATTAAAGAACATTTAAAGAGCCCAAATTGCTTAACCAGAGTTTATAGTAGACAATTTGAGAACTGATGTTATAAAAATAAAATTATCAAATAAGTGGAACAAAACAACTATTAGGCCCATGGAAAATACAATGAAAAATAACTATTGTTTGGTCTAATAACACTATAAAATCTTTCTACTTAAAAACTATATTGATAAATAATATTGATAAAATTAACAATCACTCTTCAAATATTATAATATGTCTATTTATTCTTAATATTTAAAAATGAAAGCAGGCCCCCAGTTCAAGTGAAATCTTGGGTAAATTGATCTTATTTTTGAAATAAGTATAAGCATATCAATGATTAGGTGCAAAACTAAGGCCAATGTTCAAATTATTCTGTCAACATAATGACTTTCAGATGTGGGTACCTGCTACAAAGTTAAAAGATAATTCAACCCACCTTTTTTTTTCTATTTCTATTCTCATAAAATTTTATTTTATATAGAAGTAATTATGTGCCCACACATTGATTTAATTAAAAGATCATATCCAGGGCATATTATGTAAGACACAATTTTTTATTCCTATATTTTTTTCTCTTCCAAAAGGTTTTCATGTTCCTGTCTGTTTATAATTTGTTTTCCCTGCTAAGTTGTTCATGTGAAAATATCAGTAAAACATTTGTTATTAATAATTAGAAAGTTTATATTTTAAAGGCATTTAAGCTGGAATATCTTTAGTTTTCATATTTCATTTATATATGTATATGCAATATAACAATAAAATTACTGAAGATAATTTTTCAAAATAAAACCGGAACTTACTATGTATGAGGTCAGAAACCAAACACTTTAGTCACTACTAGAAAAACTGATGGTAATATTAATAGTCAGGCTCTCAGGGCTTTAGTTATTTTCATTGACTAACTATAAGGAAATCGACCAAGTTATCTTTAGGGCCTTCTCAGTGTTAATTGTGAGGATTGTAAGCTTAAGATTGCACAAAGCAGTTATTTCACTGCCCATGCTAGTCTTCAGTAAGAGCATTTCAGTTCTCCACTTTCCAAATCCATTTCTGCTGATTTCTTCTTAGAGGTACATTTCAAAATAAATTATGAAGTAAAGCAAAGGAAGTCTTAGTGAGAGACTCAGTGTGAGGCAGGCCTTAAGGGTACACTGCACACTGGGCAGAATGCACTAAGAAATGCATGCTACACCAGTAAGGTCAGGATAGCAACAGCTGAACCATGTAACAGCATTCACCTGCAGCTCAAAGTCAAATGAAAGAGTCACAAGAAAGGGATGGGTCAAACTGTGGAGCCAGATCAGTTTGGAGATACCAAATTAACAGCTTAAATTTTATGCACTATTCAATTTGAAAGTATCAAAATTCCAGTGTTTCACAGCAAGTCAGAAGACAAACAGAAAAGAATAGCCATAGTAGTTGACAAGTAGTTGATGGTCATTTAAGATAACAAGAGAAACTCAAGAATTCACACCAAGGGGATTTAGCTCAGAACATAAGAGCCTGCCTGGCAAGTACAGGGTTCCAGGTACCGAAAGAATTCACACATAATGAGTAAGATGATTGTTAAATGGGTGGGTAGGGTTTTAAAAGGCAAAGCATCTAGATTGCCTCTATAAAATATAATTAAGAAAAACAATGAAGTCTGGCAGATCACTTTTGTAGAAAAACAATCTGTAGAATTTTTATCTTTGCTTCACTGAATTTCAACCACCTCAATATATGAGTAAATAAATTGAATGTTTAGCGCTAAATAGGAGAACATAATTGCAATCAAGGATTCAGAGATCAGTTAATATTTGGAAGAGTAGAGGACCAAAAGACAGCCGACAAATTCAGAATGAAGTGAACTGACTAAGGCAAGAATTTCAAACTGATTTTATCTATTTCATTCTAGACATGTCTCTACGGACTGATTAATGGAAAAATTTGTATAAGCAATTATGATTCTAATTTTATAGTTGAGGAAACTTAGTCTTTAAAAAGGCTTTTAAACTGTACCCATGTGAATCAAATAATGTCAACCAGGGACATAGATAAAGGGAGTATAAATTAAGGGTCCAGATTCTTAAAAATTATGATGTACTATATTTACATTAAAAGTGGGGCAGTGGTAAGTTAAGCAAATGCAGGCTGTGGTCCAAGTAAAATTCTAGATTTTAAAATTTTAAATTAATAGTAGTTCTTGGAAATCATAGGCTCAGAGTATTTCAAGACAGTGAGATGCTGAAATGAATTGGAAGTGAAGTTTGAGAATCTGAGGAAAGCCAGTGCCAAAGAATGACTAAAGGTGCCTCTGCAAAGTAGTATTAAGGCTCCAGATTCGGAGTACAAGCCATCCTTGGTCCATATCTGCATCTGTTTACCATAATGGTTGGTGATGAATATCAACAAGGAGGCACAAAAATGGCACACACACACACACACACACACACACACACACACACACACGCTCACAAGCTTTCTGAGAGTACAAAGGAACAAGTTGGTTAGTAAAGAGCTTGGACTGGAAATTCTCAGAGTAGGCAGCACCCCCAGAATGACAGGAGGATTGTGTGAAGGAAAGCAAATTGAAGACAGGACTTATTCACAACAAGTTCCCACATCTTTGTGGGCACTATCTACTAGTGGGACCCATTTCACAGTGGTCGTTTTCTAATTCCTGACACAGGGAGAAAGTGATGAGAAGAACTAAATAGATTTTAAAGAATACTAATGGGGGGGGGGATGCATTATTTTTGTAAACACTGACAAAGTATTTATTTTGCCTAGTATCCTATGTAGAAAAATCATGCCTTATGCTGTCTTACTTAATAATTCTAAGAAAATCAACCACCATTGCCAATGAATTGTGTGTGTGTGTCTGTCTGTGTGTGTGTGTGTGTCCGTGTGTTTATTGGACAGAAAGAGTTGCATAAACCCATAGTTCTCAAAATGTGTTCCCTAGACCAATAGCATCAGCTTCCCCTGTAAATTTGTCAGAAATGCCACTGAAGGTTAACTACTTGAAACTAAAATCCAAATTGATTCTTCATCTACAAAATAAATTAGTGTTGGTGCCTGATTGCATCTACTTCTGTGTTCATTGTAATTACTTTTCTTGTTCTTTTAATTGATACTGTGCTTAATATGTCATAATGCATTTAGAACTAAGCACACACTACAGTAAACACTGTTAAATACTTTTCAAAGTCTTACTGAGAAAAGTTTTGAAAATTATAGCTATAAAAATACATGAGTATTAGGAGTTTGTGCAGTTGTAGACGTAATATGTACCGTACATTGCTCGGATATGAAAAACTAACAGGAGAAATTGTCAAGTATTGACAGCTAAAAAGAAACAGTAAAAAATCAAACTCAAATTTGATGTATAGCATGGCAAGTTCTGCCAAACTGAGACAGCAAGAAGAAAGGTAGAGGGTCATTTAGTTTGAAGATTAGGATGAAAATCATAATAATAATAGCAGGTTCTAAAGTCAGCCTGTGGGAAGGATACAAAGACATGATTTAGAGAGGAGGAAAATGAGTTATTTGGCATAAATAAGCTTAAAAAAGAACTAGGAAACTCAAAGAACAGAGCGAACGATGATGAAATCATCAAAGAAAAGTACATGACAGGTTAATTTGACTTGATTCATGAAGTGTTTCTGAATGACAGGCGAATTAATATGCTGCCTACAGTTGTGCCCAAAAGTTAAGTGGGTTTGGGCCTCCAGTGAAAACTAAAATGCGTGCTTCTTAAGGATTCCACATTAACCTTAAAAATATTAAACTGCAGCACCAAAGATCGGTGAGGGGAGGATGGATGGTGCCTTCATTCATTCTTAGATGTGGAAAAATATTTGTCTTTATATCTTTATTATAGTTCCAAATATGGCTCTGATAACACCTGAGCAAACTTTGTCCCTGGCTGTCACTTCAATAGAAATTCACTGAACATGAATATTTATTTTGGAATGAGAGACATTTCTGTAGGATCTTAGGAATACAAAATAAATCTCAAAATGCAAATATTTGATATTTATGAATAATAAATATATATCTAAAGGATGATGTTTATATGGTTTATTCATAGCTAAAGCAGTTGAGACTTTTAAATAATCATATGGCAAATTCCTTATTGTTGGAAAATTTATCAAAAATGTTACAAAGTTCAACTAAAGTGCCTCCCACATATAACTCAGAAACATCAAAATAGTTCATATTTGCTTTAGAAATATTAAAATATAAATTCATTTTCTTCACTATTATCTGAGCAACAAAACTTTAAAGTTCATTTTAATAGTGTCCAAAAAATTAAGTTAATCATATATTGAATACATTGTCAGCAGCATGCCTATAAAGGATTTTGAGATAAACTATCCAGTATCAGGATTAGAATTAATGAAAAATAATTCTTGCACTGCAGTGAGTATATTTGCCACCAGAGTGAGCTCAACCACTGTTTATTTTTTATTGAAGAGACTAAAGGTGCTGAGCATCATAATTCTCTACCTGTCACATACTAGAAAAATCAGACATATTGTTTAATTACTTCTATTATCAAGATTCACTCCTATAAAGAAAACTCTCAGCTTTGGGTTTTGAGAAATAATTTGTCTTTGCCAAAGAGTGTTAGCACTGTATGCAAGAGAGATTTGTCTATGAGAGACAGACTCAAGATGAGCGTGGGTAGGAATTCTTTAGCTCAGTAACAGGAAGGCCCCTTCACACACTACAAATAAAATTCTCCTTCCAAACAACTTAAAGGACATGTACCAATAGCATTTTGTTAACTAAAAAATCAAAAGAAGCAATCAAGGGACAATTTTTTTTTTTTTTTTTAAATCCCAATTGTGCCAGGAATTATTGCAACATACATGTAACACCTCCGCTCTGAAGGTTGCAGGTGTCAGCCCTGTCACAGCAACAGAACGACTCAGCAAGACCTTGTTTCAAAAAAATCAAAGAGGTGGAGAGGGGCATTGGGGATTGAGAGACGCAGAAAAACAGAGACAGAGAGGGGGAGAGACTGAGATGGTGATGTAGCTCAGTGTGAAAAATTTAGGAAATCGGGTTTAATAAATGGAAATTGATATATAAATAATGCAAAAATTGATAGCTCTTAATAGCCTTTAATTGCTTGCCTCTCAGTAGGAAAATTGTTCTTTACTGACCTTAAGAAGTTAGACAAACGTAACTAGTGCATGTTGAGTTCTCTAACGTTTAGCCCCTCTACTCCAACGGGAACAAAGCCCCTCTACTCCAACAAAGAACAGAAAGAGACACATACACTCAAGCTTATCCTCGGGTCTTCCTCTTTCCAGCAGGGACAGGTAGCACACGATGTCCTTCAGGTGGATCACGTCCGGGGAGCACGAGTTGGCGGGGGAAGTTCGGGGAGGGGTGATGGCACCTTTATTCATTTTCAGACCTGAAAAAATAGGTTCACATTTTTAAAAAGTGCTCACAGTGCTTCCAAATATAAAATGAATAAAGAAAATAGGGGCTGGAGATTTAGCTCAGCGGCATAAGCACCTGCCTTGCAAGCAGGCAGTCGTGAGTTCGATCCCCAGTACCGATAAAAAGGAAAAAGACAAAAAAAAAAAAAAATAGATAACACGTAGACTATGTAAATGCCTGTACACCCTTCCTAGGAACCAAAAACCAAGTTCTCTGGAGTTGCAATATAGAAAGGGCACAAATATCCCATAACTGGTGGAAATAACAGAGAGGTTTGGGGGATTCAGGGGAGCGAGGCCTGGACTATCTGCCACTGCTGGGATTACACTCAGACTCTACTGTCCAGTGGGAGTTGGTACACAAATTTAATGAATAAAGAACTATTCTGTTCCGTTTTTCTCTGTATTAGGAAATGAGACATAAAAATTGACTGGGAAGTTACAATTGGCCTTTCACAAAGAACTAAAGAAGAAATGTGAGTTTATTTGATTTATATACTGATAAGAAATCTTTTATTTATTTTGAAATAACTAGTGTTTATGGCAAATATTTACCAGGGCCATAAATAAGTCACCTTTTGTGCCATTTAGGAATTTTCCCCCAATAAGCGAGGAAAGAATAAACAAAAATCTGGCAAAATGTAATAGACATTTAAGAGTTAAAAATAACTTGAGACCATACTCATAAGTGAAATAAATCAAAGTCACATGTATAAATACTGTAAGAAATGATAAGAGTACATAAGATTTTTTGGTAATCATGGTTCCCCATTCCACTGCTTTGAAGCCTTATAATGTTTTCATTCATTGGGTGGAATGGTTTTATTCTGTTTTCTTTGATTTTATTATGTGTGATGGCATGAACAGCTACTTTGAAGAAAACAAGACATTGTGGCAGCCTTGCTGATTTTACACCATCCTGCTTTGAAGTCCTACCATGCTTTTGTTCTATTTCCATTGGTTCTATCATGGTGTGTTTTCCTGGGTTTTAATATGTGCAATGGTATAAAAAAATTTATGGAAAATGAGATACTATAGTAGCCATTGTACATTTTCTGTTATTTGGTTTTGAATGTCCTGTAATACTTTGATTTTCTTGAATGGTTTTATACTGTTTTGTTATGTTTGATATTATTGTGTGTGAAAGTATGCTCAACTATTTCAAAGAAAATAGACATTATGGTAGCTACGGTTATATCAGGTTGTCTTATTGTGAAGTACTGTGCTGCTTACATTGTTTTGTTCTGATCTGCTTCGGTCTGTCTTTTGTTTTATTCTCTTTAAAATAAAATTTAAAAAATAAGTTAAAATATAAACAAAACAAAAAATACTATTACTTTTCTAGTTCTATGACAGATGTAGAGAGCTTACTACTGTTCACAACTGCTGCAATTGTTTGGCTAAAAATAAATGAACTGAAACTCGCTCCCAGTAAATATTTAGCTCCACCTTACAGAGAAGCCTGTGAAACCAGGTCCTGCGGCCCTGAGGTGGCCAGAAGAAAAGTTCTAGTATACATGGTGCAGAATTGGATGCAGAACAGCTGTGTGGGTGGATTGAAAAATGGAATAAAGGCTAATGGATTACTAAACAACCAGGCCACTGAAATGGAGGGAAAAAATCCCAACCTAATACAATGTTGCAAGCTCTCCTCCCACAGTACACACTTTACTGAACCTCTCTTTAATGCTCTCCTGCCTTGGATTTTTAACTTTCACTGACTACCTGTTATCACAGTCAACCATCTCAAAGATATTCCTGCATATGATTTAATGATTTATTAAAAATCTTAATAAAATATTATCACCGCCAAGGTTGCTACTAAGAAAAGATACCATTTCTTAAATGTCTAATCCCTATCACCACATTTAACTTTTACATTAGCCTTGTAAGGTACATTGTAGTACTCCTATTTTACAGATGAGAAAATGCATTTTAAATATGATTTCCCAAGAGTTTAGGCAACACAAGTCAATCCTGTGTATTATGCACCAGTGTCCTGTGGAGTACTATTTCCTCAAAGAGAAAGAAAAAGAAGCTTTATCTTAGCTAGTACACAGGTGCACAAACACACATATTAGTGGGTTTCCAATCACCCAAATGTTTTCCTTTCTAACCTCCTCTATTTTTTCTATCCTGTCCTTATTTATATGTAATTTTTTGTCAGACTCTTTAAATTGAATTTACTACCCAGTAGGTCACAAGGCAACATGAATACCACTGCTTTACACTCTTGCTTAGCTTTCTTCATCAAAGACCGACTTACTACATCTACGTATCTACATTTCATATTCATTCTATTCTTGTTTATAGTCATCGGTTACATATATACTCTGTATATTAAGTGCAATATCATTGTATATCTAATGCAGCAGTAGTTTTTATCAACTCAAAAAGGTAGAGAAGTAAAGATGATTCTGAGCTTTAAAACCATCCAAATAATTGTGACTAACCAATTAAAGCTTAGCCAGCTGCCAGAATAAGAAGTTCTGATTTTGACTTTGGCACTGACCCTTGACACGCCTGTAACTTCCAGATCTGTAGACACAGCATCTGAATTACAGTTGGGTAAACTGTGACCTGACCTGCTCTCCCTGATGAGCTAATTCGCTCTTTTTAGTTTTTCTTGTACACCACTGAAGTGATTTAATCAGCTCAGCTTAACAAAAAAAAAAAAAAAAAAAAAAAAAAGGAAAAAAATACAGAAGAGAGAAAACACGGTATTTATTTTAAAGAAGCATAAATATTTGCATTTCACTGTTTTTGTATATAAGATAATGTATTTGCATAAAAATAAAGTTCATTTACTTTACTAGCTGGTTGCATAAGGCAGTACAGAATACAAAGAATATAAATAATTGGAAAATATAATGCATATATATTATTCTATTTGCATTTCTGTATGTTAGATATATACTGAGCAGGAACATACAGACATGTGTTATATATAGCTTTTTGAAAGCACATATACTCTACTAAAATTCTTTTTGGCTGAAAAAATGAGTTCCATTTTTGTGATTTTTTTGGTTAACTAAAAGTTGAAATGTGCACTTAATTGTATCAAAGTTTGCAAGTTAAAAAATTTTAAGATTTTAAAATAGAAATATGGGTATCAAGCTAATTTCGACACTAAGGAACTGAAGGACCTTTGCAAGAATCTAATAATTAGCCAAATTCGAGAGGTAAAATAAATATATAATTCTTATAATGAGTCTTGGGCTGAATCAAACTGTCAAAGTCATTTTTCTAATTAATTGGTGGCAAAAAGGTTAGAGATCGGAACTTAACATATTAATTTTTCAAGAATTTATATTGTTAGGAGAATATTACATTCAGAGCAAAATTGAGGAAGGTCCAAAGATTTCCTTATGTTCTCACTCCCACACATGTGTACCTTTCTCCACTCACAACATCTCTGACTGTTCTGTTCTGTTTGCTACACCTGATGGATCTACCCTGACACCTCATGATCTAAACTGCATAGTCCACACCAGAGTCCAGTGTTTGTGTCCTGTCCTCTAGGAACTGGGATTACTGCAGTCATTATAGCATCATAAAACAACGATCTGTTTCACTCCACTAAAAACATTTGCCTATTTTGTGTGGTTTCCTCTTTTGTGTAGTTTCTCACCAAAGTAAATCAAGCTCATACACAAGCTCTCTGTCGATATTTCCCCTGACTGTCCGATCTACATCTCTAACCTATAAGCAAGCCCTGCTACTTTGATTGATTCTCCACCGTTGCCTCTTCCATAAGGTTATATAATTACTTTCATAGGTATGTAGCCTTTTCAAAGTGAGTTTGCATTTATTAATATGCAATAAAATGTCCTGTGTCTTCTCATGAACGGACAGCTCATTTCTTTATAGCACTGAGTCACACTCAATTGTATGGATGTACCTGAGTTAGTTTCCGCATTCATTGCCTTTATTACATGTTGAAATGAATAACTGAAGGACAGGCCACAGGTTCATTCCTGCTCTTCACCTGCTATCCAAGCTCTGCTCACTCTACTTACCCAGTGACAATGTTTCTTCATATTGTCACTTTTGTTCTGACAACAGGCCTTCCTTGGGCCTCAGTCTTTTCTATACAGATTGTTTTTTACATTTTACTTTTCCTCTTACCTTTTTTAAAACTTTCCTTAAATTTAACAAGAAATGCTTCACACTAGCTATTCCCTTCTGCTACAGTTCATTGCCTGAAGCGTAGTCCTTTTACTTGTAAGCAGCATGTGCTAATGATAAATTAGAAGACACGCGAGAACACATTCGGCAAATGAGATTAAAATTCTAGCTCCTTGGTTAGACAGAAAGTAGAATTTCACAAAGATAGTAGCACCAATAGCTCCTGATGAAGAGGCTCAAATTTCTTTTCCTTCTCTTTCCTTTCCTTTCCTTTCTTTTCTTTTCCTCCTCTTCCCTTTTCTTTTTTTCTCCTGCTTTCCTTCTTCCCTTCCCACCCTCCCTCCCTCTCAAATTCCCTCCATTTTTCCCTTTTTTCCTTCCTTCCTTTTTTAAGTTTTTAATTTCCCATTGCTGAGACTGGAATACAGAGCTCCATGCATTCCAGGTTAGATTTCTCCCACTGAGTAACATCTTTATACCTCTAGCCTGACAGGATTAAAATCCCATGTCCCACTAAGAAGGATAATTTTTATTTTTTTACCCACTCAACCATTTGCAATGTTTTTCTTTAGAATTGAAAGCTGAACATGAAGACACAAAAGACATTTCTTTCAATATAAATGTTCACATTCACTTTTGAAGACCCTGTGATTGACTGATGCTCTATTTGCTTATTCATTCATTTGGCCCAGGGTATCCTATTTTGTGTAGCTCCAAATTTACCAAAGTAAATCAAGTACACAAACAAAACCGGTAGATATTTCCCCATGCATAACTATTTATATATCTGTGCATATTTATTACAGTGTAAACAAAATTAAATGAAAAATAAGCATTCTAACTA